GTGCTGCTATTGGCAGTATCACTCTACCCCCTGTTAACAATAAGTGTTAATCAGGTGTCAAAGAGCCATGTGATGTGAGTATCAGTCACATGGAGGCAGGGCTTAAAAGCCTGAATCTCTCAGACTGAAGAAGTCTCTTGGAGGAGAGACGAAACGTTTCATTAGAGAAGAACCCGTCCAGAAGACCTATACAAGTTTTTTCTTTTTTACCTGGATTACTGAGATGCATCAGGACAATATATCCCCTTGCTTACAGTATCGCAATATATCGGGATATATCATATTGTGACCCCTCTTTCATGATATGTATCGTATCGCCTAATTCTTGCCAATACACAGCCCTACATATTTATATTTTGAAAACTGTAACCATTAAGAGAAAATGGCACCAGGGTGGCCATTTTTGGGATTAAAAGCTTCAGCTACATATACAAAAGGCATGAAAGTGCAGGAGACACTACATGAGGTGGGTGACATGTCTGATGTTGATGCATCTGCATATTATATTTATATATAAAATCATAAAAACCATGAGAACTTTACCACATTTAGCACATGTGGTACAGTTAATTTTGCACCATGGCTCCTTCAGTAACAAAAATTTCACACAAACATTAGAATATTTCAACTAAATCAAAGCTGACACTTCAACATAATGAAGGAACAGTAACACAAAGCAAAGGCTTTATTTTGAAATCTAATTCAAACGAATATTCGCTCCTCTGAACTACTAGGCTGACAAATAGCTGACAAATAGCTGACTCCTAAAAAGGTATAACACATTATACAGAACTTAACTTGTTATGGGTATATATTATGCAATATGACTTACATTTACATTTTAATTATTAATTACATATCTATATTTACTAGGGGTGTAAGAAAATATCCATACACTGCAATATCGCGATATTTCATTTCCCGATACTGTATCGATATTCTAAAGCCCTGTATCGATTTTTAATTAAGGTTTAAAATGTCAACCTTCTTGCCAACCGTTCATTTTTATGTTGTAGTTCAGTCTCTGACAACTAGTTGGCAGCAGTGAGCCAGCCATTTGGCTCCTCTACCTCTTGGGTGCCAGAGAGTAAGGGTAGCATTAGCATTGTGAGTAAACATTAGCTTTTCTTTTTTTTTTCAGTAAGAGGTTTTTATTTAATAGAACTTTTGGACAAAAAAATCACAATATATCAAAATATACTGCCTTGCTTATAGTATCGCAATATATCGGGATATATCGTATCGTGGACCCCTCTGTTATGATATGTATCGTATCGCCAAATTCTTGCCAATACACAGCCCTAATATTTACATGTGATTTTTTCAACAAGTATTAATTTTCCTTTGTGTGCTTTTGGCTGCAAAGTTTCAATGCTTTTCTGCTTTTAACAGCAAACATCAAACAATGAACATGTAAGAAATAAAGTATAAAATCCATATAATCCTAAAGAGTGAAATCCAGAGACTAATCTCATTCATCGCCTGTATCTGCAGATTAAAAATAAATACACATTAGTGTGTTGACAATTCATTTTACACAAACCTCATTATCTGTATAAAGGGGGAAAATGTAGGCAGATGGTTATAAAACTGTTTTAAACAGAGACCTTCTTTCCAGGATGGCCCATAGAAACAAATTATGACCTCTTTACACAGATGTTCATTAACAAGAAAAGACCCATGTCCACAAACACAGATATTAGTGTGGGTCACTTTCAGGTCACAAAAGTTGAATATAAAAAAAATTAAACCATTTACTGCACGAGTTGTGATAAGTGGATGATTTTGGATGTACACATATAAGTTTTCAAAATAACATTTTAGTGATAGTAATGTCTGTACATTTTCAGTCGGCAGAAAATTATAAGAGTATCGTAATTATCTAAAATGCAGTGTTGATCCACTTCACATACAAACAAATGTTATGGTAATTCAAAAGGGGAAAATTAATTTAAATAAAACAGAGAAACAACAAAACAGCAGTTGCGTGTTTATCTCAGATGTGGTAGTACAATTGTATAATTGACAAGAGTACAGATAAAAGGTGTGTTTGATTTTTTTAAAGTAAAATGTGACAAGTGAATAATGTGATCACATTTTGTTTTTCCATATATGCAACAATCAAAGCCTTTTAGAGAAAACAGGCCAGAATTCAGAGAAAATCTTTGAGGGTTCAGTCTCAGATCATTTAAATGACACCCAAGTTGTTGATCAGCATTTGTAAATTTAAAATGCATTTTTTGATTTATAAATGCAGTTACAAGATTGCCCAGATATCAGATTCCCAGTCAAGACGCACAACACCCTTTTACTTTCCCACTAATGTCCTGCATTTCTGAGGCATAACAATCAGGCAGGAAATTCAAACAGCCTTTTAAATTATTCAAAACCGACACAATCTGTACTTTTCCTGAGCAGAAATAAACGAAGGCACCTCGCACGCCCATGCGATGCTCGGCAGCTGCCTCTTTCTGTCTGAGAGAAAGCGGCGGTGAACAAGGCTCTGAACGCCATCTTGTTGGTTGCAGCTGCTCGGGCCCTGAATACAGGAACCCATTCATTCTGCGGCGAAGGGAGGGAGGGGGTGGGGGGCCACTGGCCAAATAATTTAATCTTTGTGAAGCGGCAAAACGGATTTTTAGAAAATACTAACGACTTCCTGGACAGAAGCATATCTAGTATGTGCTGAGGTGGATTATTTTTTTGGCTGGATTTCGTTGCCGCTCCGTGAAAGCGACACAGGCTAACATGTACGTCGCCTCGGCGCTCAGCGTGGCTTCCTGGAACAACTCGGTGCAAAACCCCTCTTTCGAAACATAAAGAACAAAAAACCTCTGCAGAGTTTTATTTTATGTTGTTTCGATAAACAAACAAACAAAACAAAAACAATCATTTAGAGCTTTGTGTTGTGTCATGGACGGTGCGGTGCCGGAGCTGCGGCCGCGGCCCGGTTCACAGGAGCCTAACAACCGAACCTGCAACTAAACGGACCCGCGGATCAAGATAAACAGATTGTCAAAATCCAATTAGTCAATCCTGTTTTCGCATCGTTAAAACAAGAAGTTCAAATTAAGGTCGACACCAGGTTTGACAGACAAAAACTAAAATGGCTATGGCCTCTTCTTGCAGCAGGTCAGCTGCACTTCACTTGCAGTTCTCAAAAACACGCAGCGTATTTAAATATAATGCCCCCGCTTTCCCCCCCCAATCCTATAAACTAAAGTCTAACACTGAATGGATGTGGACATGACACCACACAGCAGTTATAATCCAGTGGTTTGGTTTCGGTTCAGTGAAGTTAAAACCAGGATGAACTTAGTCAATCCGATCAACCCGGCGGCCTGATCGTTGTAACAGCTGGAAATGAAGCTATGCTAAAAAATTTAAATAATAAATAGCGAACGTAAAAACGATATATGGGAACAACACGCAAGTACTGTCACATTCGTAATAAATACACAGGGATAGCAGCCTGGTGGAGACGTGTTTGCACGGATAGTGGGGGTGGTACTGACGGCCAAGTAGCCATTTTTAGACTTCCTTCGCTGGAAATCTATGATGCTACATAATGCTCCCCCAGTTTAAGTAAACCCAAACTTCACTTCTACTTATGCAATATCAACAATCAGCAACTTTATTTACACCCGGGGCACAGGAAGCAAAAACAGTTACAACTTAACTTAGCCCAGAAGGTAATCGCTTCTTATTCGGATGAAGAAATAAAAACATGTGGCCACAAACTAAAACATATTTAGTGGACTGACATGTCTCATAGAAGCCGAGACTGTCGTTTGAATAACTCTTTTATTTATTTATTCAAAGTTAGTTTAACAGAGAGACATCCGGACTTTGTGGTGTCTCGTACTAACCTGCTAATTAGCGTTAGCATCACCCATTAGCTTTTCTTTTTTTTTTTTAATCTCAGAGAGTTGTTGATTTAAAGCAACGGTGTTAAATAAGCCCTGGGTTAAAAAAACAGTTACTTGGGGTTATTTAACAGTGACCCCCCTCCCCTGCCCTCAGTCTTAGCAGCAACAAGGAGCCAGCGAACAGGCTAACACAGCAGCTAACTCACGGAGGAGCCGCTCGACCCAGTTTAACCCTTTTCGTTCGTCTTCCCTGCTAGCCAACTGCAGACACTTGTGCGTTTCCTGAAGCGCAAAATTAAACATCAAAACACACTCTTACCCGCTTTCAGTCGAAGGTATCCGTTGTTTGTATCACATTGACCAGGGACAGCTAAATGGCGTCTATCCTCTGTCAACCCAGGCGCTCAGATTGATCAAGTTTAGCCTCCGAGGAGCGGCACTCCCCGAACCCAGTTTTTGACCCGCCGAGGGGGGGAGATACACCGGCACAGAGGCGCAGAGATGAGGCGGTTTTCACCCAAGCAGGCGATTCGAGAGTCCCGTCTGAGCGTTCCGACGTTTCGACGCACAGTCCAACTAAACGCAAACAGCCCTTCTTCTTCTTGTTCTTCTTCTTCTTCCCACCGTCGTCGTCCCTCTGTTTCTTCCTTCACGCCAGGATCTCAGTCGCTTCTTCCTCCGGCCATCAAACAGCAGAGATGGGCGCGGTAACCCTGCATTCAGGTCTGGGAAACCCCACGTTACGGCAGCGTCGCAACGCACGGCGAAGGGTCGGCGACCACTCCGACAAAATCAGGAAATACTGCCATCTTCGGTACCACGGACACACCTTGTCGACACATTTATAATCGAGAATGAGTTTGATAAATGCCCCCAAAACTTGATTTTGTTCAGGTTAAAATTAAGATAACTCTTAAAGCTCAAGCGTACGCGTTTAGTTTCCATTCTAGAGGTACATTTTCTAAAAGATACCGTAACTACATGAAACATTAGATTTTACCACCTTACCAGTGTTGTATAAAGCAGTGGTTCCCAAACTTTTTATCTTCTGCCCCTCAAAATATTCATGGCGAAAACTTGTGACCCCAAATATTACTGGCCTGAGTACATGAACTTCGTTAATAACCCTAAAAACACAGGCTTTTTGACAATATAAACAGCTTTACACAAATATAAATACTTGTTTTTACTTATTTTGTGTTTTTGTAATAATTATAGGGAAAGTATTACATCAGCAATTATTTTATTACCCTTTAAATAGATTTCTGGAGATTATCCAAGGTGCTTCATGACCCATAATTGGGTCCCAAGCCCAACTTTGGGAAC